GGAGCTACCTCTTCTGTTGCCTCTGCCACTGCCTCTGAGACCACCACTGCCTCAGCCACAGCCACTGCCTCTGCTACTATCTTCCTTGGGAGTGCCTCCTCTACTGTCCCCCCCGGTAGTGCCTCCACCACTGCCTTCCCCGGAGCAGCCTTCACAATCACCTCCATCAGTACTGCCACCTCCTCTAGGACCGGCTGGTCCACAGAGTAGAAAGACTTCTCATTTGACCCGAGATCAGCGGCAAGACTGTCAACTATTACGGTCGATTGGATGGAAGTATGCACAAATCCAACAACAAACCGGATTCTCTCTCCGGCAGATTAGATATGCATGTGCTTCTGAATGTCCTGCAACTCCTAAAAAGAGATCTGGTCGTCCTCCTATACTTACACAAGCACAAATCGAAGACCTTGTGGCTTATGTTTGTATGTCTGCTAGGAACCGACGTCTTTCCTATGAGCAACTGGCAGCAGAACTAGATTTTGGTGTTGGAAAAACAGCAATTCGAGCAGCATTGATGAGAGAAGGGTATCACAGATGTCTTGCAATGAGAAAGCCCCCGATCTCAGAACGGAACCGCGTGATAAGACTTCGGTGGGCTCTTGAGCATACAAACTGGACACAAGAACAATGGAATTCTATCTTGTGGACAGATGAGACCTGGATTACAGGAGGGAGACATACTAGAACTTGGGTTACAAGAAAGGCTGGAGAGGAGTGGGATCCAACGTGTATAGTAGAAAAACATCAGAGAAAGCGGGGATGGATGTTTTGGGGTTGTTTTCATGGTGAGATCCAAGGTCCTGGAATATTTTGGGAAAAGGATTGGGGATCAATTAATTCAGAAAGCTATTGTGCACATACTGTTCCCATTATTCATGGGTATATAGAATTGTGTCGCCGGGATGGGATTTATTTAAGGCTTATGCAAGATGGTGCTCCCGGACATGCTGCAGGAAATACAGCTACTGAGCTTCAGGAGAGAGGTATTGAAGTTATTTTTTGGCCTCCTTTCTCCCCTGACTTAAATCCTATTGAAAAAGTATGGCATATTATGAAAAATTATTTATAAGATAATTTTCCAGAAAATATGACATATGATAGATTACAGGATGCAGTCAAGGAAGCTTGGGGAGCTGTAGGACAGTATGAATTTAAAGAGTTGATAGAAAGCATGCCGGTCAGATGTCAAGCAGTTATTGAGGCAAATGGTCTCTTTACAAAATATTAGATATATACAAACAGAATAAATTGAGACTACAGTAATAGAACGTTCCTGCTTATACTTACTAGCACACCCGAGTTGCTGTTGGACACTTTGTATGGGAATTGTCACCTTAGGTGTCCAACAGCAACTTGGCCATCCGAGTAGATGGCCTCCATTTAGGTTGCAACCTGAAACTGTTTCCAAGCCACTATACCCCATTTTCTCAACTGATCCCCCGGCTAGCAGCGCACCCTTGCTAGCGGAATTGACAAAACTTATACGCTGTACCTCCGTAGGTGGATTTAGTTGGTTCTGTGCACGGATCACTAGCCCAAGATATGCTCTGTAAGGAGTTTAGTCAAGATACCCGTAGTACCATATTTTTCTTCTCTCCTAGGCAGTTATACCCGCCTAAAATATTCCTTGTCCCGGGAAAGCCTTCAAAAAGCAACAAATGGTACTAGAACAGATATTATAGGTGGCATATGAAATAAAAGACTTGGGCTATTTGCCAAGATGGATTCGAGAAAAGAGCACAAAGGTTTGATGCTGCAAGAGGGTAGGGAAGAACGAATCAATGGCATCGTTAGGAGACTATTTGGGATTAGGAGTGTGATCGGGAGAAATGAGA